AAAAATTGCCTAGAACTCAATACAAGGTTATTTCTGAGTTAATTCCTAAAGTTGGAGACTGTCTAGCATTAATTAACTCTACTTTCATACACACATGCACACATGCATATATACATATATATGAGAAGCAAAAAAAACACCATGCATTTTCATTTTAAATATCAACTAAAACTTACTTTTAATTAATAAAATTTATTTAATTAATAAAATTAATTAAAAATAAATTAATTATTAAATGATTAATTATTAATGTTAAGGGAGAATTCAATTTAAATAGAAAAAAACTATATTCATATTAACCCAAAGTTTAAACTTCTAAAGAAATTTATCCAATTTTTATTTCAATATATATGTCATGATTCTTACATAGTATGACATAATGACAATATATTTATTTTTTATGATAAGGGCTTTATATCACTGCCATGTTTTCAGACTAACATTTAGATCCCTGTAAATATTCTGAATGACTATAGTTTAGTACATGTAACTTCTCATGTTATTGAATATTTGCTTATTGTTTTATCATGATTTTTTATTTGAAGAGCAAGGCCATTTTAAATATTAAGATTATCTTATATTAGAGTATTCCTTTGTGATTCTATTCCCAAAATACTAGCAGGAAATAAAACAGTTTGGGTATTTTTTATTGATGCCTAATGTTTTTTAACAATATGGCTTTATAGATTTTACTATGCCCAAAATAGTTTTACTTCTGTCTCATTGTCTGGTCTGTTTTGGCTGATTTAGGAGATATTTCCATATTTCTGGCATTTAGGGATGACATACATTTCACTTCTGAGAGGATCAACTTTTTATCATAACCTTTTCTTTAAAAATTGTAACTAATTCCCACATGAAATTTTTGTTCTGCAGTTTTTATTATTGTTTGTTTGTTTATTTGGACTGGCATGGTTCTGTTTGGGAAGGTTTTTCTATTTTTTATAATTATATTTGCATGCATGCATGCGTAATTAAAAATTGTATATTTCAGCTGACTTTATTACAGATTTCCATGAGCCTTTTATATATTTTTAGATGCAAACAAAACAAGTGCAGGAGGACATTAAAGATCATTCCTGATGAGATAAAAAAGGGAGGCATGCTGAGTCTGTGGCTTCTGTGATCTGAGCTTCCGCAGGCTTTCTGGGTTCCATCACAAACTGTCACCTATGCTATGTTCAGTCCCCTGAGAGGAGAAGACTTTGATTCTACATCTTAAAAGGAGAGTGGGAGAACATATGGCTCTAAAAAAAAATTGTTTAGCCATTGGAGAAAATTATGAATGCCATATCCATTAGGTAATTGTCCAATAGCGACTTTTGCAGTCTTTGGCAATGCTCTGACCCCAGTTAAAATCAGAGATTGGCAGCTTCTATTCTCCCAGCTTCATTCCCCATGTTCCAGCAAGATCACTGTGGGTCATCTTTTACCTCCCCATAAGCTCCCCACCACAGAGAGGTGAGAAACAAGCACATCCTAATGCTCTGATCACTGCATGAATTCCACACTTTCTCAATAGATGTCTCACAGTCACTGCCCCTGGCAAGAGTGGTTTCTCACAAGTTATCAGAAGTGATTGATGGATGATAAGATAAAATGTAACAATCCTACAGACCGATGAATCTCAAACCTAGATACACAGAACAATATCTCAACAGTATCTCTTAGAAGCACAGGTTTCAATTTTCTTCAGTGAATGTAAGTTAACAGATCCTCTTGTAAGCAGCTTGGAGACCATGGTGGAGAAACTTTGCTCCTTAAAGTCAGGGAAAAAATAGGGTACTGTCTCCTTCAGAAGCCTGCTGTGGAAGAATGAACCTGTACAGGACTCGATGCACTCCTCACGTCATCTTGAATTACACCTGCAAACTTGGTTATTTGCTCTCCTTCCTCCCCCTCTGCACACCTCTCCCCATCTTCTTCCTGAACACAAGACTCATATAAGCCACATTTTGTCATAACTTGGAGGAATTATGGGATTTCAAAACTATATTTTTAGATCTAACCAACATCTCCCCTTCCCTATCCACAACCCTCTTGTCCAGCTACCTAGTCAAACAATGTGACAATAGTTGTCTTATTAATTGCTCTGGTTATCTTATTGGAGTTATAGACATTTCTGATTTCAATACAATTGCTTACAGACTTTTCCAATTGCATTATTCAGAGCATTAGCAAACACAAGTTGACTCTTGTCTTTCCATTTTCTAATATATAGGTATCAAAACATTCAAAGAACCATTGCAACAGAGAGACCTGATGAAGATTCTGGCAACCAAAGCTGTGAGCAAATACCGGACGGAGGAGGTGGAGGTGGAGGAAGTGACTCAGAAGCAGAATCTTCCCAGTCAAGCTTAGGTATTGGAGGAGGGGACTCAGAACACTGGAGGTGGCATGGAATGGCTGTGATGGAAGTATGCAAGCCAAGTCCTTACCCTGCCTCATGGGATAGCCACATGATCCCCAGATAGGACAGCAACAAAATATTGAAGAAGATAGAGGAAATAGAGACATGAGTAAGGGAGACAGCAAAGCTTCCCACTAGGAATGTTAGAAGATATAGACTCCTGTGTTGTTAGGTAATGTATCTGTTTGTGTCCTGAGGATTTCCACTTATAAATAAAATGTGATAAATGTTCACAATCCATTTCTAACGAGTCTTGTGCATTTAGGATAAAATTCAGTTCTACCAAGGAGGAATCTGGGCACAAAGAGGTATTCTGGTAGCCTTCTTGTTCACAAATCCAAGAGCATATTGTTTTTACCATGTATCAAGCCTTATTTTCCTGGTTTTTTTTTTTAATTTCTTTAAATCTAACCTGATTGGAATGCCAATAATGATATTTAAAAAGCATGAGACTGGCTTCCACTCTTTGTACCCAAAACAACAAATATGGTTACCACAGTGAAATCCCAGTAAGCCACTTTCTCTTTGAATTGGGTTAAATGGTGACAGATTTGCCAAAAAAGGCCCAAAGACAGTCTAGACAAGTAGATGTGTTAATTCTCATTCTGGTAGGTCTCAGTGATTTGTGGCAACATAGATATTGTTTGATTTATATTTGATTTATTTTTTGATTTTTATTTGATTTATTTTTTAATTTTTTTAAATGTTTGATAGTTTCACACATTTATATAATGAATTTTAGTCATTTTAGCCTAAATTTCCTGCTCCCATCTCCCCCTTGCCTCTGTCTTGCCAGAATCCTTCTTTATAATAGTCCCCCATCCTACGTGTTATATGTGTATGGCCCACTGAGTTCAATAGTTAAAGTTTCTTAGCTGGCAGTGGGTGAGAGGTTATGTACTAGAACAAGACAAGTTAGCAGTGGCTAGACAAGTAGAGAAACTAACATGAAACTGCCTTCCCCCAATGTTAGCTACCCTCATGTCTCCATGCCTAGCCTTGGGACCCTCCCCCATCTATGATGAATTGTGCAATGGGTCCAATTCTGAGCAGGCCTCCTGCAGACAAACACAGCTGCAGTAAACTCAAGACTGTAATAACGATGCCATAACTGAGAGACATCTTTTTGTTGGCCAACCCCTACCTGCTGGCTCCTTTCTTCTTAAATGCACTTACACATTTCAATCAAAAATTTTAATTGTCTCCATTCTGCTTTCTCTATCAGATGTAGTAACAAACCCAGTTTAGGCTTCTCTGTTACTAATTTCTTTGTTCAGTCTTCTGAGAGACACAAGGTACAACAACCAAGTAGTTAGAAACAGGATGGGAAAAGGTAGCTAGGATTATTTCTAGACTTGGTATTGGATCACATGTAATTGACTGTGTAATAAAAGCCTCAATTTTAGTGGATAAACTCACAACTCATTTACCCCTCAGATCTGCAGGTTGAGCACTGTCAGCTGAGTAAAGCTGGCAGGCTGCTCAGGACGGTGCTGTGCTCATACATGTCACTCGCTGTTAACTGTGCGGTGACTTGTCTGAGATGGCCTCAGTTTGGAAGCTTGTCCCTCTGGCTTGTTTCCTTAGTGGGTATGAGGATAGAAGAGAAGCCGAAACACAAGTGTTTGGGTCCCTGTCTCAGGACTGACATGCTGCTTCTGCCTTGTGGTCCTGGATGGAGCAAAGCATAAAGCCAGGCCCAGTTCAACCAGGAAGGAGCTTGCAAGTCCCACTGCAGAGAAGTGTTGATAGGAGGGGGAGCCATGGCCCCTTCTGTAACTGTCTTAATTACAGGCAACACTTGTAACAAAACAAGAAAAAGAGACAAAGGAAGGAGATGTGAAAGGACTTGAACCTAGCGGAAACTAGACAAGAACCTTACTAAGAAATAATGATACCTGACTTTTAAAAACTCAAAATTATCTCCATGAGTTTGAGTCCAGCCTGGTCTACAAGCAAGTTCCAGGACAGCCAGGACTGTTGCACAGAGAAATTCTGTCTCCAAAAATAAAACGAAACCTCAAAATTAGAAATGCTTGAAAAATATCCAAATATTTAGTATGCCAACATGATGCCACAAAAGGAAAATACAGTTCATGAAAAAAAAATTTAAATGCTGTATAAACCAGTTATGATGACTTTAATCCCAACACTAAGGAGGTAGAAACAAGACCATGAGTTTGGAATTAGGCTGCACTATATTGTGAGACTGCCTCAAAAAGTTTGTGTAAAATTACCTCTGGACTATGTAAATAAGGTATAGGTGAAAGGTACATAAATTTCATGTTCAGACATGTGTCTCATCTCTAAAATACCTCATTATGTATATGCACATGTTCTAGAATTTGAAAAAAAATCTGATGCATTTTTGGTGTCAAGCATTTTGGACAAGGGAGACTTGACATTCTTGACCTGGTCATGTCACTATGAAAAATCAAGAATGTGTTGTGGGGGTCTGTGTTCTGCCATCAGAAGAGATGTACTCAATGTGGAAGAACTTTCCACCCAACATATTCCATTGTTTTGCTTCATTTTTTACAGATCTGAGGCGAGAAGGATCACTTTCTCCAGTCAACTCACAAAAAATTACCTTGCTGCTACAGTCCCCAGCAGTCAAGTTCATCACCAATCCAGAGTTCTTCACCGTGCTGCATGCCAACTACGTGAGTGCTCAAAAAGCAAAGACAGGATGCACTGGCTTCCTGAAAAGCCAAAACAAGCTTTATGTAGTCATTTAATAAAATAAAGGGGCTGGAATTTTACTCTGTGAGCTTAGGAAAGAAGAAGGAACTTTTAATTATTTCTTCTTTTTTGGGGATTATAACATAATTACATCATTTCCCCTTCCCCTTTCTTTCCTCCAAACCTTCCCATATGTCCTTCCTTTCTCTCTTTCAAATGCATGGTTTCCTCTCTCTCTCTCTCTCTCTCTCTCTCTCTCTCTCTCTCTCTCTCT